AAAGGCTGGTGGGCTTCATTGCAAATAAGAAGCTCCCCCTTCTTACAGATTTCAGCACATTTTATACAACCCTATGCTGACGCTCATTCCTCCCCATTTCCCCATTGGCTGAGGGGTACTCTTAGGTCACAATCTTTTCCGTCCGCTTATGGACCTACTTCCTGCTACCCTCTACAGACCACTATGTACTCTACATATGACTACTACATACATCACATGTTCATGGTAAATAAGTGATTAGCTATGCGGGGTATGGTTTTTATTAGGCTAATAAGGGTTGGGGGGCAGGAGTTCATGCATTCCTAAAAGATCTCTGCTAGGTATCACTTTGGACAGGTCAAGCCACACCAAACTGGTTTTATCTCACCTTGTCTCCCCCGAAGAGATCTCCCCCTCCCCTTTTCCTGTGCTTCTTGTAGCTGCTTGGAGCCCCTTGGTAACCATGGCGATGCCTCCTTATCTCTCCCTAGTTTGAGCTAGTTTCAGAAACAAGAGCATAGTGTATCTAGGTATGCTCAGGAGCTATGGTCAGAAAAGGACAGTTTTGCCTAAGAGCAGAGTGGGGCAACTTCAAATCAATTTTAACTGCCAACGATAACTTTTGGATTCCTCCTTCCCTCTCAAAAGCAAACCCTGAAAAAAGGGAACTAGAACATCCCCAGCCAGGTTCATTTCACTGGCACTGCATTTTATCTGAACTTAACTTTGGTGGTTTGTTAACCGGATTGGGGTTTGGCACACATGTTGTGTGACTCCTGTTTGTAGGGAAACGTAGATATGGGTTTTTAAAAAGCCAGCCCTTCCTTCTGAGAAAAAGAAATAGAAAATGCTCCAAAATGCATTTATTGGGCATTCCAGGTCCTTGATGGAAGTCAATCCCATATTTTACAACACACACACAGAAACACACAAATAAACACAGGACGTATCTCTTCAATGCCACTGCCATCCTATGCCAGCTCAGAAAAATAGTGCCTTCCATAGGGATGAGTGTTGTTCAGTGGTGAAATCCATCACTTTCTAATTCTTGGAATGTCTTTTCTTGTCCATCTCAGACACATCTAATTCTTGGAAGCCTTTGGTAGGTCCTAGAGGGCTGAATGGCCTGCTGTGGTCATTCCTGCAGCTACAGGAACAGCCCAATGAATGAAAAGGCATTTGGAGAGCTACAAGATTCCTCGGACCCCTCTGGAGTTGCGTTACAGCACAGAGAAAGAATGGAGACACAACCCTTAGCAAGTGAGGTAAGTGGAGAAGACCTTTCTGCTGTTCAGCCTGGGACTTGTGGGGAGATCTGGGCAAGAACTGGGCCGAAGATCCTGGAGGAGGAAACCATCCGTTCAGACGTTCAGCCCCAGAACTTCAGGAGCGTCCAATACCAGGAGGTTGAGGGTCCCGGGGTTTTTGCAGGCATCTCCACTACTTTTGTCGTTGATGGTTGAGACCAGAAAAGCACACAAAAGCGCAGATGCTGGACCTGGTCGTTCTGGACCACTTCCTGGCCCTTCTGCCCCTGCAGTTGCAGAGCTGGGTGTGGGAGTGTGGAGCAGAGACCAGCTCCCAGGCAGTGGCCCTGGCAGAAGGCTTCCTCCTGAGCCAGGTGGAGGAGCAGAAGGAGCAGGTCGAGTTGCAGGTGGGAGATCTTCATTTTGGGAGCCCAAAAGTGGTCTGAATGGTATAAACAATGCATTTGAATTCTTAACCCAGTCCTGAGAAGAGTTCTCTGGCATTTGTAATATGTGGAGACGTTTCATTAGTTCTTGTAGGACATTGTTCTATTATCCATTCTAGAAGAAAGATTTGGGACAGCCGTTCCTTTCTCACTTTCCAGCCTCCCTGATGGACACTGGGGGCTTTGAAGTTGAGTTCAGAGAACAAGAATCCACCTCATGTTGTGTGACGTCTGTTAATTCTTCTTTTCTCCTGCCTCCTATTTCAGGTCCTTCGCTGTGGACATCAGAGATCCTGAGGGAAGGAGGAATCCATCCAGTCCCTCTCAGGAAGATCCAAGTCAGGACACCTCAGGAGGTAATCGAAGGCTCTCCCATTCCCCAGAGAGATCTCAGCTGTCTCATCTTCTCTATGTCTTCTCTTCTCTAGAATGCCTCCTCCTATTTTGTTAATCCTGCACTTTAAAATTCTGTCTCCCTCACAGGGAAGACTCGAACGAAGTTGTCTGCTCTTTCTGATGGAGCTGAAACAGTGGCTGAACCTCAAGCTCAAGTAAGAGAAGGAAATTTATCTATTAGATTGTATTCTCCCGTTCCTTCAGGAAGTCAAGCTGGTGAACACAGTGCTCTCTCCTTCCATTTTTCCCCCTTTTGTGGGCCTGGGTGTTTTCTTGTCCTTGAGCAACATTGAATGGGGAATGGAAGGTTCAAGTTGCCCTCAGTCAGCTCAGCCAGCCCTGAAGTCTTTGGTTGGGATACAAATTAGTTTGTACTTTCTCCTGGAGATTGTTATTAGGATATCTTTTTTTTTAAAAGACCAGTATGTAACTCTCCTTTTCCTACTTACACTTCCTATTAGTTTATAATAATTTATTCAAAACTTTCTCAAGAGATAGGAATAATATTCTTAGGAACCGCTAAACAGAGACCCATTCGTTTTTTCATTCTTTGAGCTGGAATTGTGCAAGGCTGCTCAAAAATAACTAAATACTCAGATTGGCACATTGCCATTTTT